TCCAGGGCAGACACACAGCTGCCTCCCTGTCCAACTCCCATCGCCCCTTGTGCTCATCACCCCACTGCCCCATCTTAGCAGTCCTGATGCTGCTGCCCCATCAGTTGTGGCCCTCTAAGCTGCTGTGTGATGCTGTCTGCTGCAGGCAGCTTGATGACTGCAGGAATCTTTCCAGAATCACCACAATAGAAATACCCAAGACCCATGGGAACCAGTTCCCCCTTCCTGTCTGCATGAGTTTGCTATAGCTGCCATAACAAATTCCCACACCATGGGTGGCTCGCCTAGCAGAAATGCATTGTCACACAGCTTGGGAAGCAAGATGTTAGCAGGACCGCTCCTTCTGAGGCCACAAGGGAAACACCTATTCCACCCCCCGGCCCCCAGTGCTTGCCATGTAGATAGATGGCTGTCTTCATGTTCATGTGGCATTGTTCTCCCTGTTGTACATCTCTGTCTCCCAAGTTTCACACTTTGTAAGGACACCAGTCATATTGTACCATAATTTTCTCTTAATTTTATCACCTCTGCAAAGTCCCTGTCTCCAAATAACAAGCCATTTTGGTTTTGGGGATTAAGTAAATCTGTGTAGGAACTGGGTGTGGGGATGGAGTGGGGGTGTGTGATGCAGTTCAACGCATAACACTGCCCTAGCCCAGATTGCTTATATCTGCTGTCTGTTCTCTGGTCTGACTTAATCTGTAGTATCCGCAGCCCTGCAATCCCAGATCTCACCAAGGCGGAAATAAGGTTTGGATTCTAGACTGAGTGCCATCCACAGCTAAAGCTTTGGCCTTGAATTGTCATTTTATCATTTTACTTCTCTGAGGCTTGGTTTCTGGAACTGAAATGGAGGAAATAATTTCCACCGTGCCTTCTTCACAAAGCTACTGTGAGCATCTAATGAGACAGTGAATGTGACAGTGTCATGAAAAAATAAGTATCCCACAAATGTGAAGTAGTATCACTGTATCATTATTATCACTAGTAAGAATAAAGGAATTCTAAAGCTAGAAAAAGGTCTTTCTATACCCTCTGGAGCTGAAGAAAACTATTCCATTTATAAAGCCATCCCTTTTTATTCCTCCCAAGAGGAAATCCCACAATGTTCCCTAGTTGTCAAACAGTTCCCTCTTCTGATGAATTACAAGTTTCACTCACCCTACAACCATCTTCACCTAAATGCACTGTGCTACATATAAGCCTACCTGTTTTCATTCTGATCCAGGTTGGGGAGAGCTAATCATTCACCCATATTTTTTAATCAGTCCTCTCCTTAAGTCAGAAGATGTTTCCTGAGCACTTGCCATGCACAGGCATTGTGCTTTGGGCCAGGGCTCAGAGCTGTGAGCCATCAGTGGTTTATAGTCCCCAGGCCAAGAGTTCCTAGGATGCCCTCTTCCCTTGTTCCTAAGAAACAGCCCATCCCAACAGCTGTCGCCTTGCATAGGTAGTATTGCCTAAGGTTTTGTTTCCCTTGTACAATGCCCTCCACATCCCATCTACAGATGACCTTGAACTTCTTTGTTATGAGCTTGCCTTTTAAGCCAGGACTCCATTCATGTCAATCCTTTTCCATGAATGCTGTCTGGGTATTTGGGTGGTTTTACTACTGATGAAGCCAAAGATGGCATCCTCAAGGCCTTCGCTCCAGTGGAAGCCCTTATCATCCTATTGTTTCAAATAGGTATCTGTAATTGCATTCCACCATCCATCTCAGGGCCATGTGACAAAGGAAGGTGACTCTGCAGGCTGGTCTTCCTCACAAAGTGATAGATTCCTATTCTTTCTGTCATATTCTGTCCTCTCCTACTAATCTAGTTAGACTTGGTAGAGTTTCCCAAGTCTAAATGGCTACTTCTTGCTTCCCCCTTGTTGTCTACGGTCTTTGACCAAACCCTACCTTCCCAGCTGTGGTTTCCAGATTTTCCTCCTGTCCCTTACTTCTGTCCTCCAGGCATGTTTCCACATGTGGACTCAGTGATCTCTGACTTAGCAAATCTCTCCAAAGAGCATTCCAAATTAGTATATATGCAAAACTGGCAAATTCTCACTTCTCTTATCCTCCAACCTGCTCCTCCTTGCGGAGATCCCAGTCGCTTCTCTCCGCTTCTCTGCAAAGACTCAGTCCAAGAGCCCTCTCACTTAATAAATTTCTGCAGTGTGCTTATTAGCGCCTTGTAATGTAGCCGCCTAAATAATTAAGACTAACCCACACGTGTCAAATTAAATGAGCCAAATACATTGAGAAATTACCTCATCCTCAATTTCTTTTATTAATCAGGTTTTTTTTTAACTTCTTTTCCTGCTCATTTACAAAAATCAAACATGGTCAGTGAGATTATTGCTTATAATAACTGTGGGCACATGTGGCCTCTTCTCTGGCAGTCACCTGGAGGACATCCTAGTGTGTGACATTTGAGTCACATAGGATAGCCAGAATTAGTTTTCCAGACTCTAAATAAGCTTTTGGAGAATTCTCCACCCCTCTATTTACCAGAGAGTTCAGGGGACTGCCCAGAAGACCAACTGTAACGTTGTCCGTATCCATCCAACAACTTCTGCTCTCTTTCTTCAATTATCCCCTGGGCTCAATCCAGAAACCCAGACTCCCTTTCTCATTAGGAGCCAACACTGATATGCTTTAGCTGGGCATCAGAAGTCAATGCAAATGTAATAGGAATCTTCAGCAATTGTATCATTCTAGTGATGGACAGTACACCTGCAATTCTAATGGGCTGGCTCACTCCACTGGCATCTGCACCCCAAGGTTTCAATACAGTCTCCAGCAAGAGGCCATTCTTGGCTGGGGCTCAGCACCTCCTCCCAGTCTGTACTTCCACTGGCCCCTCCTGGTGTGCTGCATTCCTGATTCTTGGAGGTGGTTGTTAGAAAGAATCGGCAAATATAGTAAGTAAACATCAAAGGAGCTTTGATCCACATGGTCCTCGACAGAGCAGGAGCCCCTGAAGAAAGGGCCAAGGCCTTGGATGGGAGAACTTAACATCATCAATTTGGGTGCCTGAGATGCGAGGCTGTTTGAAGTGGGGGCCCGGTTGGCTAAGCCTCAGATGAGTGAGCAAGTGTGCAGGGGAAGGAAAAGGAGTGAGTGCCTTTGGAAACGGCGCCCTCAGATCTGCCTCTCTGCGCTTTACAGATAGTCAATAAGCCCCTTTAAAGAACCAGGAGATCAAAGCGGGCTACCTCCCTGGGCTGTGGCATTCTGCCACCGCCTGCTATGTTTTGTTTTTCCCTGGGGCATAGGCCCCCAATCTTGACTTATCTGCCTCTCCTGGGCCCTACACTCCTTTTATCCTGCTACCTTGGGAGGCTGCAGCTGCACAGCAGAAGGGGATGGAGAGGGACCCACTCTGTCTGTCCCTGACAGCAGAGACACTGACTATGGCTGAGAGATGCATTGTGGCACACCTCTCACTGGGACCCTCCTTCTCTGAAAATCTGAGGAATGAAGCAGCCAGATGCCCAGGAATCCTGGCAAGCCTTGGAGGAGCTATGGTCACATTCCCAATTTCAGAAAAAAAACCCTTAGCCACTTGCCCAGTCTGTGGCAGTTGTCACATTTGGATGATTTCTAAGCAAAAAGGTGGAGATGGAGAATCTAAAATAATCAGGGATAGTCATTGACATCACTGAGCCTCAGTTTTCTGATCTGAGTAACAATTGCCCATTTGTCTACCCCAGGTTAAAAGGGACAGCAGGTATGAAAATGCTTCAGACCCATAAATACTTAACACAAATCAGGATTAGAAGATCAATACCAGAGAAGAAAACTTTTTTTTTTTTTTAAGGATAAAAGGAGGGAAACATTAACAGACATACAACATTTTACAACATATCACAAGCACAATACAGATAATACAGAGTTACAAACAAAGTGGTAGGGAATTAACAATGGTGGTTGTATTACATATTGATATCTTCAAAGTGGCTTCTCATGAAAACAGATATAGACATGCAATACTGGTCAACCAAAGACTCATTGACAGTTTCTTTCAGCATAGAAACAGCAGATAGAACAACCATGTTATCTATCCTGTATATACATACATACAAAATTTCAGAGAAGAAAACTTGCCTTCTCCTGAGGCAGATATACCCCAGGTCATGGCTACACATAGTAAGCAGTGATTTACAAAATGTGCCACAAAAAAGGAAGGGGGAAAACGAGGGAGAGAAGGTGAGGGAGAAAGAATGAGGGAGGGAAGAAGGAGAAAGAGTCCCTCACATCTGCTACCTGAAATTGTTCTTTTTTTTTTTTTTTTTTTTTTGGTCAAGTTGGGTCAAAACACTTTGGGTCCTTGCATCTGTTAATTATCCCAACCCTAAGGTCTGACTCCATATATATAAGTAGTGAATGATGGGGCTGAATGGTGCCTCGATATAGGAATGCACAGGAATATCTAGCCCCACAAATGCATGCAAAAGGTAGAGAGTTCTGCTTAGATTTCAGCCCCTGTGTCTTTCCCAAACTCACTCCATCACTTCATCTTCCTGGGTCGCTTACTGTAGGTGGTTGCATTGTTTCATCCTGGATGTCACTGGCTGCACTGTCTCTTTTCTGGCAGGTCTAATCACAGTTGCAAGGGGATCCGGGCATGGCTCCCAAGCCTGCGGTATAAGGGGCATCAGTCACTCAGAGTAATGTTTAAAAGCATGGGTTCTAGAGCCAGGCTGCATAGGTTCAAAATCTTAGCTCTGCAATCTGCTAGCTCTTTAAAGCCACTTACTTACCACATTTGTAAATAGAGATGATATAAAATGGAGCTAATAATGATACATACCTCACATGATGTTATGAGACTCTAATAAGGATTATTAACAAAGTTATGCCTGGAACGCAGTGAGTGCTATATAAGTTTATATATATATATAATTAAACAGGTCTGTTTTAGGAGTGATAACCACAGCCCTATGGAAGAACCTCTAACACGTCAGCCACTCCCAACTCCCCAACTCACCTACTGGTATTTCTCTTTCAGAGCTGGGCCTCCAGAAGAGAGGATGCTGTCTGGTGTTGGGCTACATGGCCAAGGACAAGTTTCGGAGAATGAATGAAGGTCAGTGGGAACCTTCCCACCATCTCATGGGTAATGTGGAGAGAGGAAACTATGTCCTAGGATGATGGTACAGAGGAGCCAGAAAATAAGAACTTGGACAGCTCCGAAAAGAGACTAGACTTACTGTAGGTGGTTGCATTGTTTCATCCTGGATGTCACTGGCTGCACTGTCTCTTTTCTGGCAGGTCTAATCACAGTTGCAAGGGGATCCGGGCATGGCTCCCAAGCCTGCGGTATAAGGGGCATCAGTCACTCAGAGTAATGTGAGTGACTTTTTGGACAGTTCCGAAAAGAGACTAGACAGTTCAGTGTGATTTCCATGAAGCTCTTTATATAATAATACCAGGAAAAGCAGCTAATGCCTGAAACACAATATGCTGATTCATAGCATTTTCCTTATGCCAACTCCCCCTCCCTTTGTATTCCCTATTTCTCTTCCTCTCTCTTCCCTACCATTGTCCCCCACCAAGTTACCCAGCCCAATTAAATTTCCTTCTGTTATCTTTCTACTCCAAAATTCTCGCTCCTTCTCATCTATCATTCATATTTCTTGAATGCTTATTCAAATAAATAGCACCTTACAGAGCACCTTGCAGAATATGACAGAATGCAGTGTCTTTTTTCTTAAAGAGTTTACACTTGGAAATCTGTCCTCTTTTCCAACTCCATTGGCCTACCACTCCCTCTTGTTCGGGAACCATTCTGGCTTCCTCTTGCATTGGGTCTCTCCTCTGGGGTTTGCTTGGATCATGAAAGACTTGGGAATGGTTTTGACATTGACGTTGAAGTTTGGATGCAAGAGGAGTGCTGTCACTTACGGGCCTACTGTAATAAAGAAGCAATCCTCTCCATCCCCAGCCATCTGTCTTTGTGCAGCTAATAACCCTCTTCATCAGATGCCACAGACTGTTTGTCAGGATTCAAAAGTAGATAAACAATGGCAGGGCATGCCATTTATTCATTAAAGTCAGACAAATGAAGTCTTGGCTTCCCACCAGTCCAGTTTCCCATGCACTGGGCCCCTCCATCCCAAGGCTCAGAGTCCCTGTAGCCTCATTCCCATTCCAGGCAAGGAGGATGCAGTTCACCTGCCTCATCTCTTCCCCCAGAGATAAATCACAACATAGTTCCAGGGACTGCTGCCCATGCTCTGCAGCTGATTCTCTTCCCAACCCACTGTCCATGAAACCCACACCTCTATGTGTACTGCAAACCTGAGCCCTTGCCATCTGTGGGCCTGTCGCCCACACCCATCGGGTGACAGTCTGATAAAAACTGGGCCAGCACAGTCAAGCCCAGGAAGCAATCACCTCCCCCATTTGCTGCCTGTCTGCAAGAAGGCAGCAGCTTCCAGAAGCCACTTCTCATTTATAGGAGCCCCATGACTGAGCCCCACAACCAGGGGTGGAGGCAGCATATCTCATGTCCTGCCGATCAGTCTCTTTCATTGACTTTTTTCTTTCTTTCTTACTCACCCCCTCCCTCCATTCCCAGCACCGCTGCCTTGACAAGAGTGCTAGGCAGTAACTTCTAATTTGTGGGAGCTGACAGCATGCCTCTGTCCGTGGTGCTGAATAGACATGTTCTCTTGCTGGCAATGCTCATTAGAGAAGCTGAACTGAGGTTCATAGGGATTGGAGGAGCCAAAAAAGATCCAAGCTGAAACCCAAGCTCCAGCTGTCTGACCCTAGCTTCTTGATGACCAAGGAGACAGGGGGTGGTGAGCAAGATGAGCCAACATGTGGGACAAATTACAAGGCTCAACTAATAAGAAAAGGAAGACTGGATAGCAGGAGGATGATAAAATGGGCAGAAGAAGGGATAGGTCAAAGGTGGGCCAGCTTTGGCTCTGGGAGGTAGAAGACATGAGGGCCAGGGGAGAGAGGGACCTGCTCCGCCCCAGACAGCCTTGCTACTCCAAGTGCCGCAGTACACATTTCCCTCTCTACAACTCACATGCCCGAACTCCAACATGTCTTCAGACAAGAAATAGCACCCGCAATCAGGGGAAGCTGTTTTACGGTTTATAATTTTCTCGTACCAATTCTCAAAATAGTCATAACTTCCACATATTAATAATTTAATTTTAATAGTAGCCATGATGCAGATCAAAAAACAGAAATCTGTCCATGCCACACAACACACCTTGATATACACTGAACAACTGGCAAAGTAATTATTTTTCTCCCACTTGCTGGAATTGGTGAGATATTGAAACAATTATCTGCCTCTTCTATTAAAGTGGCGTGCATTATATCTCCAATTCAGAATAAATATAAAAGACCTACTTGTGCTGTATTAAAGCATATTTGTTTTGTTTAACAGTATCTAATAGAGTATCTGTCACCCAAGGAGAAGTGGTCTCCTATTTCATTTGTTTTCCTGTTAATTTGCAAATATCTCTTTTGCTTTGTTCTCCCTCTACTCCCCACTCCTCACTATATTCCAGAAAAGAACAGCTTGAGATGGAGCATGAGGAAAATAATGAATGAACAGAGCTTTATAGATCTGGGGTTTATCTTAAGTTAGAGTAATCACAATTGGTGCTGTTAAACTACACAAAGCAATAAAAAGAAAATACTATACAAAGATCATTTAAGGAGGCATGTGATAGTCAGTGAGGGGTTTTCTGTATTTGGGAGTGCTTAACAGCTTCTCAGAGAATCTGCAGCTTTCATAGGAATGGAGGTACTTGGTAATGGAGGGTGTGTGTGTGTGTATGTGTGTGTGTTCTTTCCCATTTGTACTCAGCACATCTGAAGCATCCAGTGAAGACACAAACAAAAATCAACAAAGGGCAGACAAGAAAGGAGGGAATAAAGACAAGCTGGGCATAAGAATATCGGATTTGCCTGACATCATTGTCCTCGTGTGATTAAGAACACAGTGCTTTAAAGGAAATGCTGAAAGGACATCATTTATTTATTTATTCATCAAACATTCATTGAATAGTAGAAAAATGACACCAATTTTTCAAAATAAGTGCCATGCATCACTGTAAGCACTGGAGTTGTAGGAGTAAATAAGATATAGTCCCTGCCTTCAAAGAGCTCAAAGGAACACTCAGCTACATGGCAGTGCAAAGGTCACCTCTACAAAGGGATTGCCCTACACTATACCTAAATCAGATGCCCATCTTTGACACCATACATCCCACATGGCAACCAGTCTGCATATTGTTTGACACCCATTTCAACTTGCAGTTGTATAAATCTTGTTTTTTCTTGGACACAGGGTCTCATTATGTAGTTCAGGCTGGCCTCAAACTCATGGAGATCCCCTTGCCTCAGCTCTGGAGTGCTGGGATTACAGGCATGCTCCACCATGCCCAGTTACATGCTGAACTTCTTACATGTGTACTGTTGGCCCCACCTGGAGAGAGTTGGCTGCAGCAAAACAGAGATCTTGCTTCCTTCTTTCCTTCCTATTGCCAGACCTTAGTCCAATGTCTTTCACATAGTGAGTAGCCACTCAGCTTCTATTTAAATAACTAATGAGTGCTGTGAGTGACAAGAGAAGAATGTACTAAGTCACCCCAGGTGTCAGGTGTGTCTTGGGAAGAAGCTCATCTGGCAGAGCAGACAGAGGCAGAGTGTTTCACAAAGTGAGTCTCCTCATCTTCAGCAATTCCCCAATTCTCAGGTGTCTGTTCCCAGGGAACACTCCTTTCTAGGATGCCAGGACCCAGGCATGTCAGTATTACTGAAGCATGGAGGAAGGCCTTCACTGGAAATGGTCTCCCTGCCTTCTACTGCTTTCCTACTCCACCCCCACGTACCCCATGTGCTGTTAAGCACGTACTCAGGCATCTTTAGGCAGATATTTCCCATCAGATCTCTTCCTGTTCCTTTGGCTTGGAGATTTCAAAAACAATATCTCAGTGTACCTTGCTCTCCCAAAGCAGGTCCTATTTCTGGACAGAGCAGAAAGCTGTTACAAGATATCAGATGAAGGGCTCCGTGTTTGTACATGTTGAATGCATAGAGAACCCCAGACATGGCAATGCAACCCGCCACAGGCACACAGGGAATTCTAAAGGATGTGGCTCAGACCATAAATGAGAGGGAGCCCCTAATACTTTCGGTTGGCTTGGTTTTCCAGGGTGACTGGAAAGGCAGAAAAAGAGGTGGGGCAGGGAGAAGCCAAGGAAGAACACAGGAGAGACTTGGAGCTGGGACATGCACCAAGGAAGACAACCCCAAGGAACCAGAAAATTCTGTTAGGCACCTCCAGAGAAGGGGGAAAGAGGAAAAGGATGTTCAAGGGAGGACAGGGGAGGCAGAAAAGCCTTGACCTGATTTCCACCAGCCCCTCAGGCTAAGGCTGACCTGCATAGGAGGACTCTCCTTCTGTACATGGGGTGCACGGTCATCTTCAGCAATTTCCTAGATATGCAAGATCATAGTGACTAGCTGCTTCTTTCAGCTCAGTGAAAGGGGTGCAGAAATTCCTCCCAGCACTGTCCCTTTCATCTTCCCAGGAAGAAACACTCTCAAGTGACTAACAGAGGCAGCTGGTGCTCACCAGAGACTCTGGGCTTGCATGGAATGCACTGGGGCACCCAGGAAGGAGAAAGCCAGCTCCACAGGTGGTCAGCCCCCAGCAGGCTCTTGCATGGCCCCAGATCCTGGGGTACCATTGTCCTAGTTCAGACTTCCACTGCAAAGGCACCTCCTCTATGGTGTCGATCCTCACATCTAAGCACCATGAGGAGACAGGGCCCTGGGAGGATGGGAATCTGGTGTTTTCAACTATCGTGGAGTTGTTTGCAATGGTATGGAAGCCTTTCTTTCTTTCTTTTGGGGAGGGGTACCAGGAATTGAACTCAGGACCTCACACTTGCCAAGCAGGCGCTGCACTGCTGAGCTATATCCCTGGCCTCAGGGAGTCATTGTTTTTTCTTTCTTTCCTTCTTCCTTTCTTTCTTTCTTTCTTTCTTTCTTTCTTTGTTTGTTCCTTCCTTCCTTCCTTCTTTCTTTCTTTCTTTCTTTCTTTCTGCA